ATGTCCGTACGTCTGTATGTGTGTGTGTGTGTGTGTGTAAACCTCTTGTAACTTTTGAACAACTTGACCGATTTCATCGCCGTTGGTGTCATTTGAAAGGGCTTCACTAAACTTAGATTTCCTGAAAATTTGAATCGATTCGGACCGGTAGATTTCGAGAAAATGCAAAAAAAGTGAAAAAAAAGTTGTTTTTTTTTTTTATTTTTTTTAAATATCTCCGAATTGGCTGAACCGATCGGTCTCAAAAACTAATCAGCTCTTAACCTTGAAAACCCCCATCGATCGCCACCAAAAACGATAGAATCGGTTGATGCGTTCGTGAGATATCGTTGTCGAAAAAAATCGAAAAAAGTGTTTTTTTGTAATAACTTCGAAATTGATGGCTCGATCGATTTAAACTTGAAAATTTTCCATGGAGCTTCAAGAACTGCGTCGATTGCCGCCAACTGCGTGAAAATCGGTTCATTCATTCAAAAGTTATTGTCGTTTGAAAATTCAAAAAATTGTGTTTTTAAACTGCTATTAGAGTTTTGAGCTCGAAGAGCTTAAATTGACACAAAAATAATATTTTTGAGCTCGACGAGCTCAAAAACGTAATGTGTAGTTTGAAGCGTTTAAGTACATAATGAGCGGGAAGTTGCAGGAATGGCCTTTAGAGTGAACCGTTTTTCTAATTTTTTTTAATGTTTCTATATCAATTTGTTAATTAAGAAAATCCAAAAAATTTTCAGGTGTCTAATAATTACACAGAAAGAAAGGTTCACTTGAGCCACGAAAATATTTTTCTTCATAATTATTTACTTGGGCGAAAAAAAAATTTTTTTTTGACACAAGAAATTTCACTTATTCCAACAAATCAATTCTCTTGTTTCAAGAAATACGTTTTTTGATCCAAGACAATTTATTTAAGTCAAGAAAATTTTTCTTGTTTTGAGAAAATTTCTCTCTTGCTCCAAAAAATTAAGTTCTTGACAGAAGTAAATTTTCTTGTCTTGAGAAAATTTTTCTCTTGCTCCAAAAAATTAAATATCATGATAATAAATTTTCATTAATATTTCTATTGACTAACATGTCAAATGGGAAGATCAAATAATATTGAATCATTTTTTTTCATTCAATATGTATAATTGCGCGCTAAAATAATCTAAAATGCGTATCAAATATTCAAGAGAAAAATTTTCGCAAGATGAGATAATTTTTTTCTCAGCTAAAGTAGGTGGCGCTGCTTCCCTAAACTATCCAAAAATCTTGATCAAATATAAAAATTTATTATATCAAGTATTTATGATAATTTGAATTAAGAAAAAATTACTTCCACCAAGAATAAAATTTCAAGAAAAATTTTTACTTCGGCCAACACAACTTCGGTCTTCCTTCGGGCGACCGAAAATTTACTTGAGCCAAGAAATTTTTTCTCCAGTCAAGAAAATTTTCTTTCTGTGTACAATAAAATTAGTTCTTTATACGCAGCAGCAATATGCTATCATTTTACTGACAAAATTATATCAGAAAAAAAAATTTGGTTGATCCATATGTGTATAATTGTGCGCTAAAATGATCTAATATGGGTATCAAATATTCAAGAGAAAAATTTTCTCAAGATGAGATAATTTTTTTCTCAGCTGAAGTAGGTGGCGCTGCTTCCCTTAAGTATCTAAAAATCTTGATCAAATATAAAAATTTATTGTATCAAGTATTTATGATAATTTGAATTAAGAAAAAATTACTTCCACCAAGAATACAATTTCAAGAAAAATTTTTACTTCGGCCAACACAACTTCGGTTTTCCTTCGGGCGACCGAGAATTTACTTGAGCCAAGAATTTTGTTCTCCAGTCAAGAAATCTTTCTTTTTGTGTACATTTTCACACAAAAAAAAAAATTTACTTGATTCAAGTAAATAATTTTGAAGAACTTCATATTCTTGATTTAAGTAGAAAAATTCTCAAACTAAGAAATTTTTTTTGGTTTAAGAAAATTTTACTTGGTATAAGAATTTTTCGTCTTAATTGAAGATAATGAAATTTTTCAAAATTATTTTCTTGGTTTAAGAATTTTTTTCTTGATTCAAGTTTTTTTTTTTTTTCAAGTGCATAAATTATTAATGTATACAACGACACTGAACTGAAGTGATATAATATTTATAATTATTTTACATTAAACTTGACTCAATATTTACTTAATGTAGTTAAAGAATTTCGTATTAAACTGAATATTATTGAAATGTGTATCATGTAATAATAAATAAAATTTTTTTGAAAATAAAAAAAAAAGTTTTGTGTTTTTTATTTTTATATGGACAAAAGATTTATTTATAAAAGAATGAAGTAGATAACATTTATGAAAAGAAGTTATAAACCATAAAATAACTATTCATAAATTATAGCTGGGTGAGTGCATCATAATACAACGAGGGATAGATACTAACACGTTCATGTGATTCCATATATATTCTCTTCTACTGAAAAAGCCTCTCGTACTTTTTGCCAATGATTTTTTTTGGAGATTAGTGAATAAGAGCTAGCAGAAAATAGAGAGTATACTATCCAAAAAATATTGAGCAGAGGGTAAAGAATACAGGACGAGAATGCCGGCGTCATTGTAAACAGGAAACGCTCTTATGATATTTCCTCACTCTAAAAAATCTTGCTTCAGTTTGCAAGACAAATTAATTAAAAAAAATTTAATTAAAATTTTAAATTTTATACGACGCAAAACGATTTAATTATAATCTGAATTAAACCAAAAGCTCACAAGAAAAATTTATGTTTCTTTTTTATAAATTTTATTATTACGTTTTACGTTTATTTTTTTTTTTAAGATTATATATAATGAATTAAAATTGTGACAACTGTTTAAACAAAAGAATTGTAAAAAGATACTGTTACAGCTGTTACAAATAAAAAAACAGCTACAAAAATTCTTGAACGGTAAATTTATGTGAAATGAAAAAAAAACTTCTGCTTAATATTAAAACGAATATTTCTCGTAAATTTCTTGGTCCGTAAGATGGAGAAGAGTGAGAAGATTACGGAAGTATACTTCTGTGGATAGATCCCGTTAAATCGCGATGCGAGTGAGGAAACAATGGGATGCATTTGTCTTTGAGGGTGAGACTAGCGCGTTAATCATTCTCTTATTCTCCCCTTGTTTATTTTCTACCCTCTTTATATCAACGTTCTGTTCCTTCTTCTTCCGTATCTCAACTTCTCTCATTCGTTACTATACACTGTACAGAAGAAGAAAGAGAAGGATAATTTAAAAACAATTTTCGTAAGAAAAGGATAAAAATACACAAGTGCACCAGCAAATGGCATAGAATGCCAGTGGTTTATACTGGAGTCCAATTAGCAATTTAAGACAATAAACGAAAGCGCACCCCCTTTGTTTCCTTTTAGCCTTCTATGCGATCAGTCAAAATTATTGCAAGCAGGGAGAGTCAAGGTTATAGAAGATTTATCTCTCTTACTTTTTGGTAGAATTTATCATCCCTTATTATTACGTACTATATACTCTTAAATATATGTATACATTGACACTATGACTGAGAAATAAATCAAATTTTTTCCATAATCATTCTCATCCATCGAAATTGTATATTCACATTCTTGGATTAAAATTTTATTACCTATAAAACATTTAAAAATGCAATCATATGTAATGTCTGCATATAAAAGAGAAATTTTTTGTTAAAGAATATATTTACTTGAGTCAATAAAATAGTCAGAAAAACAGCAATCATTTTTGTTCAACTAAAATTTACTTGACCCAAGAAATTTTTTCATGCTCAAAAGTCGTCCTGAGAATTTTTTTAGCTCAA